TTCTTTATTATTTTAATTGAAAAAATTAAGCAATGATATTGATATTATAGTAGAATATGTTTAGAATTAATATTTTCTTTTGTAATAGATTTATTCCTTTTTATTTATTTTTGATTGATTTCCCATAGGTAATTTCTGAACATATGCTAAATCGCGATGTCTAACGGACGATGTATCACGATTTAAAATTTCTGACATCAACCAGTCCTTATCATAGTATTTGGCAATTAAGCTACAATTTTAATTATTTGGCTACTATTTTTGATAAATTTTTGCTCCTGTTCAGGCAACTATTTTTATAGTTTTAGGCAACTATTTTCATGCTTGATGCTACTAAAAGCAACTATTTTTGTTCATTTTTTACTGTGGCAACCCTGCCTCCCCCATTTCATGGTGTTCTGAATATCTGAATTTGTCATAAAATCCCCACTCACAGTCATATTTTATTAAAATATTAAATGTTTTTATCATGTTCTTTAAAAGTTATGGTGTTCTTTCAAAAAATGAAAGAAAAAACATCATTTCTAGAGCGAAATCATTTCTTCTTTAAAATTTCTGTGATTTCAGAATTTTTGTTATTATTTTTATTTTATCAATTTGAAATTCTAGCTGAAGCAAGCCAGTCATTGGTGAATTTTTTTTATTCTGAAATGAGAACAGAAAAATCAGGAGTATTTCTTTCCTTTCAGATGAACAAGAAAAGTATCTTTAGAATACAATTCTACAAAAAAAATTTTGCTTTTGTATTTTTTTCAGCTATTTTATTGCTTTAACTCTTTATTTACTCCGTTTTTTTAAATTTAAAATCTTTAAATATGAATATACAAAGTATAACAGTTCTGGTTATACCTATCATTTCAATATATGATGTTATAATGCATTTTTGAATTTCTTGTTGCGTTTTTGTCGGAAAAAATAGTAGCTTCATTAAGTCATGAAAAATTCTAGGAATTAGTCATGGAAAGTCATGAATTTAAAAATCTTAAAATGTAGCAGATGCCCTGCCTTTAACTTATCTGCATTTAAAAACCCTCTGATTTTACCGCGGTGTTAAGACATTTCCTATTAGCGCCAAGTTGAGTGGCAACATCAGATTAATTTCTGAGGCGATCTATATATACTTTGAAAGTTTTTAATGGGAATAAACTCATAAATCTGATCTAATTCAGATCAGATCATCGTCACTTTTATATACATATAAAAAGTAGGTGTCGTTAACTACATTTTTAGTAAAGCAGTTAGCTGCAAAAAAAAATTTAGTTTTTCCAACCACTGGTTTATTGAGATGATACTGATGTATCTGTATTATTGTATCTAGGAGTTGAAGAACATGACAAAGAGGGTCGTGTGATCACTGCTGAATATGAAGCATTTTACCTTGTGGCAGCTTGTAAGTATTTTTTCTTCATGAAAAATTATTTTATGTATGCCGCCTCTCCCTGGTGAGAATAGGGAAATCTTGGAAAATACAGAAAATTTATAAATCACCTAAAAATGTAGGGAATTTTATATTTTTTCTTTACTTACTGGGAAAATACAGTGAATTTTGTTTTGTCTTTAAAAAAATGGTGACTACTCAAAACGTAATCTATAGGATATTTAAGTATTTTTAAAAGCTGTTCCTTTTAAGTTTTCCCTCAATTAAAATTAGAACAATTAGCCCACTATAGCTAACGCAACAAGGGAATTTTTTTTTTTCCTGATTTAAGTTGCATCTCTGTAATAAATTCACTGAAAAATTCAAACTTCAGCAGAGCTTGAAATTTACGGTGGTCCAGAACCACTAAATTTTAACTCAGACCTTAAAGAAGGCTGTTTTGATTTTGTGTCGCAAAATAGCATTTGTCATAATTGTGAACACTACACATTCTCTATTTTGAACTTTTTTATAGGCTTACCACCCACCTGGAGTTATCGGGGAATTTTTTTTTCTTGGTAAAGTTAGGCAAATTTGGATAAAATTTTCGAGAAATCGGGGGAAAATTCAGTATTATTTTACTACTCAATTCAGTATTATTTTACTACTTTTTATTTGACCCACTTTTTTTGGGTGGAAATTTATTGTCAACTTAGCAATTCTGTGCTTGCATCAAAACTTGCTGTATTATGATCCCGTTAAAGTAAGTAAGGTAAAATAGTCACTGAAAATAGAGTGGGTCTGAAAAATATGAATTTGGGAATGCTTTGAGTCTTAAAGTTGCGTATTGCAATAAGAATAAAACATTTGCTTAAAAGAAATTAAAAGTCTATTAAGTATCTTCTGTTTGCTCTTTAAATGAAAAGGTAGAAACAAAAATCTAAATTTTAAGGATATGTATGTTAGCCAAAACAGCACTTCATCAGGGGACACACTGGAACCTTTCTGTAGTCAGTAGTTAAACCAAAACTGACTGTGCCCTAAGGCTTCATGATAAAAGAACAAAATAAGAAAATGAATTCAAATATTGAAATAAAGATGAAAATTCAATGATACATTACAAAAAAAAAGCACAAGTCAAAAGTACACTGAGAAAATACTAATAAGAGCATGTGTACATATAAGAAATCTATAGTTACAGTTAGAAAAATTAAAATAAGATATAAATTACCAGATCTTTATAAATTTAGTGCTGACCCCTTTCGAAAAACTTTAAATGATTAAAAAATCCAATAAAGTGCTGCCATCTACATTCTTCAAGATCAAAAAATCCTAAATTTCACCCCATAGGCCTAATAATATTATTTATGTTTAAATGTTAGCAAATGCACTTGAATGACGATTTCTCATTCAGATATCTTGATGAGCAGTATTCTTTGGCTTAGTGAACTATTAAGGTTTCTTTTTTATGTCTACTACACATTTAAAGTCTTGTTTTTTTAGAGAAAAGAGGCTGAACTGATCTAGATCTTCATGTTAAGATATTTTATTCTAGCTGTTGTAACAAGTTTGACACATCTCTCTAAAGCCTGGGACTGACAGGGAAACTAGTATTTTTCTGATGTTCCGTAATTGATCAGTGATTTAATATCTTCACTTAATTCTCGCGGCATTTTGAAAAGTTATATCACACAAGAATTCTTATTAACGAAATAATTTCAAATAATCTGTAACTTTTGAAGTTCATCGTTTGTGGTACGAAATTGGGTCTTTGCTACAACAATATCCTGTCCGCCAACGATATCTGCTATACATTTTTAATTCCAGTTCTATTACCCCATTCTAGACTGCTAACTTTTGTCAACCTAGTCCTTGGGTTGTATATAAGAATTATCTTAAAAGCAAGACAAACCATTCCAAAGAAGAAGAAAAACTGCCAGAAATTTTGTGCCATCAGATTGCATTGAAGTCATTGGTGTGGTATATCCTTCCCAAATGCTACACCACTTAAGTGAAGATATTCATGCACTTAAATCACACATTTTGCTGGTGCTTGAAGCATTGGAGAAATACCACAGTTATGAAGAACTAAGTAAAAATTACGAATAATCGGTAAAAATTATTAAAAACTAATTAACTTTTTTTTTCTGAAACACTAAAAAATTGAGCTATTCATCAGGTATTAAATTTATTTAGAAATTCTAACCCTCATACAAGCATAAAAAACTAAAGCGTGTTTGTTCAAAAGCTGTAGCCAACTTGAAATTTTATTTTAAATGTGTGATTTTTCAAGTTTTTCTAAATTTCAAGTACGCAAAGGAAAGATTTTATACTGTTTTAATACAATTGGCAACTTTTCCTCGCTAAAAAAGTTCAAATTTTTTTTTTTTTTTTTCCAACCTACCTTACTGTGAAACTCATCCAGATTGCTAAAGAATTTGAGAAACTTCTGACCCCTTTAGAGACAATGCTGTAGGGCGAGAGAAGTATATTTGCACCTGTTCATAAAACCATGGGATTTTCTTTGTCTTTGTGGACTGGAATCATTTGAGCTCGTTTTGATGCTTTGGGGATATTTTTTTTAAGTTCACAAATTATTTGGTCCTAACTCAATAACAATACATTTTATTTCACACCCTTTTCTGAAAGCTTTCATACTCTCACCCTATGAAATCGATTAATTTTTTTTTTCACCTAGTCAACCTATAACATTTTTTCTTACAATCCACTAACAGCAATGTTTGTAGACCAATTGATGCTTATTTTCTCAATTTCATTTTAATCTTTTAAAACATTTTTAAAAAATGGAACCAGCTATATTTTGATAAGATTTAATTTTACTGTTTTGTTGATTTTCGATTCAAAATTCAAATTATGCTGTCAATCACAATGTCGAAAGTTTATAATTGCTTTGTTCTTTCTGGCGATGAAGCAACAATTTTACTATTTTATTGGTAAATACTTGATTCAAAATTCGAATTGTGTATTAATCCCACTGTCGAAAGTTCGTAAATGTTCCTTACATTCCAGAGATGATATTTCCGATACTGTTTCTCCTTTTCCCTAAAAAGCTGTCAAAAAGTAAGGAATGTATAGGAAACATATTAAATGAAGTATAAATATGGAATATTAAAAATTTCATTGATATGTGTTTATTAAGAAGTAGGAAAATAGATTTTTTTTTTTCTATATTCTTCAGATACTTGTTTCTAGTTGTCGGGGGGAAAAACAATTAACTAATCCAAACTATTAAAGCATGTGGCTAGATTGTAATTCTTTAAATATTTTGATTATTTTAAAAAAAGACAAAAATTTAAGGAATTTTATGTAGCTTTTCTCTTTAGAGTACGCACAGCAAGATATTCGACAATTTTGCATTTAAATGCTGAATATCTCTGTAAATAATAGTGCTAATTCCAAAGCAACAACATTATCCAAATATTTAAGTTTAGATACTGGTTTAAAGAAAATATAATCATTGAATTCTCTAAAGTTTTTGCAAATAGTGTGAAAAAACTGGGAAATAGCTCTATATTTAAAAGAAAATAAATTATTAAATTTCGAAGCAGAAATAAATTACAAAATATATTAGTGTATCATTGTCTGGAATTATTTTCTTTTTCTTAATAAAAATATATTTAACAATACCTGTCCAAGAATTTTTTTTTTTTTTTTTGGCACTCTGTATTTGCTTTTGATGCACTTTTTGCAAAAACTACTTCAAGTAACTCATTAAAGCATTTTTTATTCAATAAAAACTATATGTTCTACAAGCTAAACATGTTATTTTCTTCACGTCTATCTTTATTTTATTTTATTTTTTTCAAAAAGTTGTCATAAGACATTAAAAATATGAATTAAAAAAATGAAAAATAAAATGTTGCTAAATTGTTAAGATAAATCTAATCCAATTATTTTTTCAATATTATATATTTAAAAAAAAAAAGCTTCTTAAATAAAATACTTGAGAAAATTTGCATTTTACTTTTGGGTAAAATACCTATCTTACACTGTGTGAAAGAAATGAAGGGGGGGAAACTATTGTCCTGGAAATTTTAAAATTTTTACCTGTAAAAATCAGAGAAATTTAAAACTGATTTGAGTGGACATCCTGTTTTAAAAGTCTAATAGATCCATGTAAACAGACCAATAATATATGTATGGACTAACTATATTTTTTAGTTACTACTAGTCCTGTGGACCAGTGTCTAAATTTTCTTAATTTCATCTCCTGTTTTAAGATATTTTAGTCAATATTCATAATAAACTCACTTTAAAAAGCCTCAACTGTTATTCACCCAAAATAATTTAGTTACCTACTCTTTAAAAAGAACTGCTTCCTTACTGAACTATAATCGTAATGTAAATGTATTTTGATTTTTACTCTACTTTCTTATGCATCTTTAGTGAAATATCATATATATCAAAATGCGTAATATCATGTAATAACTGAATTTGATCCTCAACAATTTTAAAGTTACCGTCATATACTATTTTATGTGTATATTTCAAAAAGTAATTTTCACTCATTATTTAAATAAGAGAAAAATGTGTAGTTTATAAATAATAGTAATTAAAGGTATGCTAAGAAACAATTTCTGTGCATTTTTTTTTCCAAGAAAAAAAGTGAACTAGAAAAGCAAAATTTTTTTGATAAACAGCTTAAAAGATTTTTTTCTATAATTAATGCTGAAAATTATTTAAAGAAAATAAACATTTAAAATTGAATTTTTTTTAACAAAGTAATTTATTTAAAATCACTTAAAAAATTTATTCCCAAGCATGCTTGGTACTCATTTATCGACCCACTGAAGGGATGAAAGGCTGAGTAAACCCTTCCCGGCCCGAGGATCGAACCAGGGATCTGCGGCACGGCAGCGCTACCGCTCAGCCACCGGGCGTATTATTATTATACTACCCCCTTGAAAAAAGAGAAACTTATACAAATTTAACCAGTTGAAAATGAAGTGAGCAAAGTGAATATTTGTAATAGTAATCAGAATTAAACCTATAAACGCAAATAATTTTGCCTGTAATTTTTATTTCAACAGTTCATTAATTTTTCTTAAAAATGGAATATGAATAAAAAGGCAGTGTTTTTAAGGGATCGAGGCTTATTTTTACTAAAAGGACAAAGCAGGTGCATTTATAGAGATCAAAGTGCAGATGAACACTGGGGATTATATTTTCAATTTTGATTATTGGAAGAAAATGCGGACTGTTCTTACTTCACAATGTGTAGTTATGTTACTGATAAGATTTATTGATTTAATGAGAATTGAGTTTATTACAAGAATATAATTGTCTCGATCAAATTCTCAAAATTCAAAATTATTAGAATCAAAATACCAATTGTAAAATATTCATGTAACGAAATACGATGTTAGAATTCTAACTTTTATATTTATTAAAATTTCTTAACACTGTTTCTCAGAAGAATTTTGTATTATGGAATATGCATGAATTTCATGAAAATTGTCACAGAAAAAGAAATAAGCTGTTTAGAAACAATAAAATTGCTTTATTTAAAAAATAATAATAATAAATAAATAAAATACTATGCAACAGTTGTTACTTAATGAGATATAAGATATTAAACTTACGATGCAGATCTACATTGCTATCCATTTTAGGCTTAAATAATAGAAACTGATTGTAATCAAGGAATATCATGAATGAAAAACTTTTTTTTTTCTTCCTATTTCTCTTACTGATATTATTTCATTAAATACTGAAATCTAGAATGCCGAGATTTTCAGTGTTAAGTAATTATGGAAAAGTTAAGAAACAAAAGCTATTTTTCTTTTTCATTCATTCCTTATATTTTATTCCCCTCAGCAATTTTCTTTATTTGCCTTAGTAATTATTTATTAGCAATTGTTATTTTTTTTTTCTCTCAATAAGTGATATAACTTTGCAGCAAAATAACTTGGGTCCTCTTTGGGCCAGTATTCATGAATCTTGTCTCAGTAAGGGTTCAAACGACTTTCATTTTTCTGAGATTGGCCTAATTTTCCTATTCACTCGATATTTTACATCCACTTTACAACCAATATTGGTCCTGTATAGAATTGTCACATTCACCAGATCTACTATTTAGCCAATGTAGGCCCTATATAGGCTATTCTAATGCCAATATTAAAAAATCTAGACATCCCAATATTGGTCCCTCGATGCATGTTCTTATAGGACCCATATTGAGTCAATTTTGAACTCAATATGGTCCTATAACGTCCCATATCCGGACGTCCCTTTTCCGGAAGGGTCAATTTCCCGGACACTTTTTAACAATCAAAATAAACAAACATTTCTTCATCTTCCCCACTCTCTTAAAAAAAAAAAAGTATTTTGACAGGTTTTTTCCTTTCTTAACTTCTAGTGATCTATGCATTAAACCCATAAATCAACAGAAAAGAGAACAGAAGATCTACCAAGACCGTACCGTTAGTATCGCTCCTCCTCTGGAATGCAGGAAAGGGGGGGGAGATTTGTTTTCAAAAGAGCACAATTGAGTCCCCTCCCCCCTTCTTTCCTGTGCAGCTGGCTAGTAAAAGAGGCATTTCCTGATAAACCTTTTNTTTTTCAAAATGCGAGAAATTCGCGAATTTTGAAATTGGTTTATAGAATGCACGAATTTCTCTCAGTAATCATTTTTTAATGCGAGAATATAAAAAAATATGCGAGATTCTCGCGTTCTCGCACTGTAGTGAAAACACTGGTCCTCTTTGGGCCAGTATTCATGAATCTTGTCTCAGTAAGGGTTCAAACGGCTTTCATTTTTCTGAGATTGGCCTAATTTTCCTATTCACTCGATATTTTACAGCCACTTTACAACCAATATTGGTCCTGTATAGAATTGTCACATTCACCAGATATTTTGTATCTACTATTTAGCCAATGTAGGCCCTATATAGGCTATTCTAATGCCAATATTAAAAAATCTAGACATCCCAATATTGGTCCCTAGATGCATGTTCTTATAGGACCCATATTGAGTCAATTTTGAACTCAATACAATACAATACAATAGCCAAGGTAAAATTGTTGCTAGGGATTCTTTCAGCTTAATTACTAAGTAATAATTGCTTGTATGAGCTGCAAATCAACTGCATTGTGAGTTAACGGTTTTTAAAATGAGGAATGACTTTTCAATTTTATCAAACAGATGTACCTAATGCCGGAAGAAAATTGGTCCGTTTAGATTACAGAATGCAGTGGGATAAGGATTTTTGCACCTATATCAAGAACTTGGATGAAAAAAAACCAGTTGTCCTTTGTGGTGACTTAAATGTTGCTCATGAAGAAATAGGTAAAAATTTTTTTTTTACTTTTCTGTTTTCATTGTATATTAATTATGTAAACCCATTTTAGGCCAAGGGTAGAAATTTTTTAAAGTACGGTATTATTTTCATTGAAATATGTTTAAATTACATTCTTTTAACAAAAAATAAGTTTGTGCGTAGAAAATAATATTTTATTTTTGAAATAAAATGGTGTGTATATGCGGCATTGGCCAGATCAATGAACAATTTGTTTAATTCAACAGTTATGTTTTTAATGGAAACATTCAAAACATTTTGGATGCAAATGGGCTTCATTTGATGCATAAATATATTGTGTGGTTTCTGCACACTTTACATCGTCTGCAGGCTTTTTTTCATGCTTACTTCTTGTTTGTCCGATTTTATCAGTCCATATTTCTTTTGGTATAGCTGCGGATGATGGGGGACCTTTGTTAAGATGGGTAACTTGTAATGTACTTTGATCCAGATGGATATTTCTTGGAATCATATTTTAATAGGGCAATAGCTGTATAAGATTTAAAGTCTTCAAGTGATATTTTTCAGCTAGTTGAAATTCTATGAAGCTTCCCTGAATTTACTATAACGCTATCAATGATATTTGTAAATAATGGCCGCCATCATTTCTTACTTTGAATCTTGATACGGTAATTAGCTATGGCATTGTCATGTAGGTCTACACCTCCTGTATGCTTTATGTAATCCGAAATAACGGTGGGTTGTGAAATCACTTCTTTTCTTTCTTTGCGACTGTTTCCTTTGTCATTTACAAGGGGCAAAATGGTACTGTATTTAGTAACAATTGTTACCACAGCATTGTCATTCCATTTTAATGCACATGTTTCTGCATCCTCGTTGAATACAAAAACGTAAAAGAAAATATGCTTTTTTTCTTTATATTTTTGGAGTCATCCAATATACAACCAGCTATACGATTTTCGCAGCCTGTGCAGATGCAAAGAAACATTTTTCTTTCAAAATTTCGAATAAACCATAGGCAGAGAAAAAATTATCAAAATTAATTTTGTACGTCTGAGGTTTTGAAAGAACGCTAAGTAACTTCAGAACAACGTTTGTTCCTAATGGTATATTTTGTTTATTACTGTTAGCCACAGCATCTCTATAAGGAATGAATTGGAAAAGGTATATGTCAAATGAGCACAAATACCAAAGTTTAAATCCAAACCTTACAAGCTTCTGCTTTACAAACATTTTTGATGAATGCCCCCTGTAATAAGGCAGTAACCTCTTCTTCAATTGACATATGTAGAGAAAATATTCCAAATTGTAGATACTTTTGACTTATGTGCATAAAAAATGGGTGTAGCTTAGCAAATATGGCTGTTTTATCAGGACAAGAGTTAACCGACAAATAAATATTTTGCTTTATGCTTTTAAATCTGTTTCGACTCTTGCATTTCCGAATTATTCACAGTCCTTTATACTCATCTAAAGACCAGTACTTATCTATTTGAGGAAGTGTAATATATCCAGAAAGAGTATACAGAATAAAATATACCTCTGGATACCAGGAAGAATATGGTATCCAGAGAGTGAGTAATGTATGGTATAGAGAGAATTAGTAATCTATCTAGTAAATGTTTATAGAAATCACTTTAAACTTTCAATAAAACTCTGAAGCCTTGCATAAAAAGGGGTTTTTCAAATTTTGCCTATTTCAAATGCATTCATCCAATGGTGCGTTAACGCACCATTAAATTTGAATTAAAAATTTGTGTATTTTTTTTTTTATTATTTTTTTTTTTTAATTTTACTTTCAGAACTTACAACTTTAACCCATTATGGAAACATAAAATAAATCTCAAGTGGTATAATTATACAGTTTTAAAAGATGGATTTTTTCAATAACAGTTTTGAAAATAAAAAACAGGCATGTTTTGAAAATTTCTCAACAGAAAGTATTTACTCCAATTGAATTACTAATATTTTATAGATGTCTTCAGAAACCTTAAAAACAGCAGAAAAATAAAATTATTGAAAAATATTTGCCACAGTGTTAATAAAAAAATATTTATCAAAATGATGCATTTACGCACATTTGGCCAAAAATGGGTTAAATCACAAATAAAAACTTGCTGTTCATAAATTTTTTTGTTCTTATTAATATTATAATTATTTTTCAAAGTTTATTTTATTTATTTGTTCTCTCCTTCGGTAAATAATATCTTTGCATTAATATCTAAAATTCCTGTTTTCAATTTGTATTGTTTGACATCTTATTCTAACATGAAATTAATAATTTCTACACCTTAATTTTTTAACAAAAAATTTCTTGCATTTATTTTGCTTTGAATATTATAAAAAGCCTTTTTATTGTGATGTTACATTGCAGATTCTATAATTTGTGATGGGTTGCCACAGGAAACAAAAAATCCAAAAAGCGGTGACTAATAAAATAAATTTTTCATTAAAATATATTCTCAGCAACTTTTTCTAGCATTTTTTTTTTTTTTTGAGTTAACTATTGAAAGTGAATAATTTGAAGTGTAAGTAATAGTGGTAATTAGAATTGAATAATTAAAGAGAATAAATAAACAAAAATTAGTTGAGTTACATTTTTAGTCACCTGTGGTATCTCTGCTTTTATAATTTTACACATTGTTGCTTAAGGCTCTATGTGACTCCAAAATCTTATTTTGATGTCTACTTTTTAGTTTTGCTAGTGCTGTTATTTTAAAGTGCCTAGTAACAGTCTTTAAAAAACAGTTCATTATTTTTTTTATAAATATAATAAGCCATGTTCTTATATAAAATCTTCTTTGTATAATTAAAATAAATAACATTTGGGTTTTATCAAATATAATTTCACCTTTACAATCATTTATCCATCCTATCTAGCAACTTCACAGATTTTTGTCAATATTAAAAGGGATAGCTTAACTGTTATTTCTGATTAAATATTTCAAACCTATAAGTTTTTTTTTTTTGTTTTTTTTTTTAAAGAACATAATTTTCTGTGGCTCTAGTATGCCTGGCATTGCAATTTTCAAGCCCTTTAATGCAGATTAAATCTTGTATTGGTAAAGCAACAATAAGGAAATTCTTGTAACTTGTCTGTATATAAAACACAATTTCAGTTATAATTAATGTATATTACATTGTTCATTAGATCTTGCAAATCCAAAGAATAATAAGAAAAATGCTGGTTTCACTAAAGAGGAAAGAGAAGGTTTTTCTGCCCTGTTGTCTGAAGGCTTCATTGATTCATTTCGCCATTTATATCCTGATGCAGGGGATGCCTACACTTTCTGGACATATATGGCGAATGCACGTGCAAAAAATGTTGGATGGTAAGTGACTTCCATCTCAATATTTGAAAGTTAAATTATTATTTTTTTCTTATCAATGTATGATTTTAATCATGTTTTTTTTTTTAAATCATTTTGTGTATGAGAAAGAAATAGCTGTAAACTACATGTATATATATCAGGGTGGCCACCCACCTGGAAAACCTAGAATTATCAAGGAATTTTTTATATACTAGAAAAATCAGTGATTTTTAAAGAAAAATTGGAATTTTTTCTTTGAGTTTTTTTACTAATTTAAATTATTTTCTTATTTAAAATTATTTTACCATGTGTTATACCCACTTTTAGACCAAAATTTATTGCCAAACAATTGAAATACCATCACCTTAGCAATACTTTGCTTGCATCAAAATTCGGTCCATTATAACCCTGTTAAACTAAAATGCCACATGAAGCTCCAATGGTTTCTTAAAGAATAGAGAACCTTTCCAGGTCACCTCATTCCGATTAGGTGACCTGGCTATCACTCTATACCGTGAGTCAAAGATGATAAAATAACATTAAAAAAATAATATTTTAAATTAAATACTTTATAATATTGACACTTTTCTTGTACCCATCCTACATTTTATGAGGAGAGAAAAGGGCTATCGACCTGTAAATTTTAGGATTTTTAAGTGGAAAAATCAGGGAAATTTGAAACCTGATTTGAGTGGCTACTCAGATATATAAATATATAATAACATGTATTCTAGAAATTTTGTTTTATGTACTGTCTATTTATCACATCTGATGTGGAGACTTGTAGGTGCAGGTTGCGAAAGTAATAGACTAGTCTATTTATTATGAGGAGAAAATAGTGTTTTGGTATGGGGAGCTAAAAACTCGTTTTCACTTAGCTATTAGTTTCATCTAATACCCCACTACTAATATACTTGGCGGTAGCCGCCCCAACTGCTTCCTGAAATGAGCCGGCTTTTCGACGCACTGAGAGCTCATAACGAGATAGACAGACAGTATCTCTACATACTTTTTTGGTTGTAAAACATAAAAGGATTTCTCTAAACTTATTAAAGTAAAATTGATAAAGACTTGATTTGCAAAATCTTAATTTAACAACAAATGACTTTTGGCAGCTGTTTACAAAACAGTTTGGTAAAAAATCACTATGATTCATCAAAACTGTTCTTCAAGAAATGACCCCAAAAAGTTTACTTTTGCAAATTCAATTAAGTTTTTATTATTGAGAAAATTTTGCTGCATTAAAAAAAAAATGATTTTGAAATGAGGTTTATATAGAGTAAAATTTTGTTGAAACTGTTGATGTAATGAAATTCAGAGATCAGTGGATCAGAGAAAGACATGTTTATTAGAACACAGAGAGTTACACAGTTGGAACATACACTGGGACAGGAGAAATAGGAAAGAACATCGTATAGACAGTTACGTGTATTTATAGCCTTCTTGGGCTCAAAGTTAACGGTGAATCAGAACAGTCTGATAACTATAACATGCAAACTGTGTAAAATTTAATTATTTTAACTATTAACTTTACTAATGAAAGAAAACCCTTTCCAATGAATAATTTTTTTATTGCTAAACTTTTTCTGATTGGAAATTTTATTGCATTTAATCTAATTTAATGAGTGTAAATATTAATTTAGTGTTTTTGTTTTCCTGTTTCAGGAGATTAGATTATTTTGTTTTGTCCAAGAAGTTAACTGATCATCTCTGTGATAACGTCATTAGAAAAGATGTTTTTGGAAGTGACCATTGTCCCATTACCTTATTTTTATCTCTTTAAATATCTACTCATTTCATTTTTGTCTGTATTTTGATTCATTTTGTCAAAATTATCACCATCTGTGATTGTGTTTAATAAAAAAAAAATTCCTTTTTATGCTGCATTTCATATATTTATTTATTATAATTAAGTGAGAGTAAAATTAACTGATTTTTGAAAAAAGAAAGTTTAGTCGAAGTATACATTTAAAATTTGATGTAATGTTTTAATTACTCATTAAAAGTTACATTCTAGGTCATAAAAAAGCCAAGTAAATTTCATATTGTAGAACTCTTATCTCTTTTTTTCTATAAACAGTTTTTAAAATTAAATTAAGTGAGAATTTACATATTGTGTAACAAGTCAGATTTTAGTTCTGCTTGCAACAGCTTTTGGAAACTACTCCAAAACTTATTTAGAAAAAATCTTATTTTAATTTTATTATTTAAAACTGTCACAATTGCTACCATGTTAGCATATATGACATTTTTACGATGAAATGTGTCAAACCTTTAATGAAAGCTAGAAAATTAATACAGTTGAACTATCCATAAAGCATTGTATCTAATAGCGTGTTATTGGCGAGCACCGAAGCATGAAGAATGTGGAGAAATGGAGACTATTTAATTGTATCATTTCTCAAAACTGTATTGTAATTTCTTGTTTGCATTATTAATTTTATGATTTTTTGTAATTTTTTAGATGTTATTGGAAAATTGTTTTAACTAAGATTGGTATTACTGACCACATTAATTAGGGATAACCTTTTACTGACAGTGTATAATTTTCTCAACTATTCGTACTCTGCTGCATTTCGTTAATTCCTGTCCCAAGACAGAATTTTTTGGGGACTTATTTTAAATCAGAGTTTCTCAATTAGTCTTTTTTTTTTTAATGTTTGTATAACACTCTCACTAAACTTTCTTTTCCGACAGCACTAAACTTAATACAATATACTGATAAAATAATACTTGTTCCATACCATTGTTCTTAACCTTAGTGCTACTCTGTTATCTTGTAATGAAAAAATTATAATTTTTTTTAAATAATTTTTACTGAAATTGCTTTTAAACAGAATATTTGGGAGAAAAAACTGGTTCAATTTTAAGTAAATTTTTTATTAAAATTCTATTGTGGCTTGTTTAAAATTTTCTGACATTTTTTTTATTATAACATTAAATTTCTTTAAAATTTTAGAAAGTATCATACATTGTGTTTCTGATAATCAGTTCACTTTGAAAGATTTTTTTTTAATGGTATGTGGAGGGGATATACTTATCTGGTTATAAATTTTCGTTTTTTCAGCAAATATTACTTTGTAAAAATAGAAATACAATTTGGGATCCGAGCAATTATAGTAGTGTCATTGATAATGGCATGGAACCGTGGATATTTGCTCCCCTCAATGATTATAAAAGTTCCATTAATTGTGATTTATGCAACAAAAAAAGATCATGAATAATCATTTTGAGCTGAAGTTAAATGTAAAAAAAAATGCTAAGAAAATAAAAATCATTTTGCAAATGATTAGTAAATAAGTCTCGCTTAATGTTATAGACAAATAAGAAATGCATGAATCATTGATTTTAATTTAGCCAAGTGAATGACAACCTGTGAAATGAAAAATATGTGCATGTATTATTTTTGCTGATATGGAAGGCTTTTTTTTCTATTGTGAAATTCTGAGAAATAAAAACTATTTTCATTTTTTCCTCTGCAAAAAATGGATGTCCAAGATGCGATGGGTTTGGAAATTGTTTAATGCTTTGAACCGCTCCTAGAAATTAGTATTATTCCTAATTATTTTTTACATTTCTTTGCAAATAAAATTATTTTCATTAGTGTGTTCAATTCAAAATACAATGTGCGTGTAATCTGCATTTTTCAAAGTTGTAAATCTTTATATGTTGGGAAAAAAAATTTTGGTCTTGCCATTCACTTATAACTTTATAAATATAGTTAATAATTTAACTATATTTATAAAGTTATATAATTTTTATTCAAGATTTTTCTATAAAAGAAGAAAACTGACACAGGTAATAATGGAAAGGTTGAAATCTTTCCTCAGTGGCTCCATAACCCTAAAATGGACTTGTTTGATTAAGTTTTAAAAATTAATGATTTTTATGATGTTAAATATTTTTTTTAACCTTTTGCTTACTAAAGAGAAGCATCCCACAGAAGCTTGTTGTGGGTCATGAAGCTTGAGGCTCCACAATTCCGTGGCAAATTAAAAGATTGTAGTCAACTTTTCCTTCCTGACAACGTGATTGATCTAAAGCTAGATGGGCTTCAAGCCGTTCTTCACAGATAGGCTCCATCTACTTACTTCTGGTTCAACAAGTGGACCAGAATGACAGGCTTCACAGGTGCTATAAACGCCGTCAGCAGAGTTAAAACAGTTTATCTCTGTAAAGTCTGTGCTAGCTTTTTCGTGAAATATAAATTTAATATGAAAAAAGGAAGTAAATATTTTTAATATGGTGTTAGTAGTATGCTAAATTTCTTATGCTTCCTCCTTTAACTTATAAAGTCGAAATTTTGTTTCATTTCATCTAATTTACATATTAATGTGCTAAAAATGATTTTTTTTTTTTTTTTAAATTTTCTTTTGCAAGAGTAGCAGTGATTGATACAGAGTTGTGTCAGAAGGTCACACATACATACATATCTTAAGTCACATTTTCTATGAAGCTCTTTTTCTATTCAAGAGGACGTATGAATCAAAACTACTAACTAATATAACCTATTTTACCATGTTGGCGACGTTCCGACGTTGCTCCCTCTTTTTGAAAATAAACTAAAAGTTTTCCTTCAGTCAAGATTACAGGTCCAGAATGCAAAATAATGTACATTTACTTACTACTTCAAAATAGACGATTTATCCATTTAAAGACATAAAAATACGTTTCTGCAAAAAAAGAAGAAAAAAATTAGTGGCTCGAAATAGCCACATCAATATTTGGTGTCAGATATATTTTCCTAGAAAAGTGCAAAATCTCATATTGTTTCATCTAATAGTTTTCGAACTATGTCAATGAGAAGCATATTCTGTTAATATTTTCTGAAACAGAAGTGACGGTGGCAGGAATTTTCCTTTGATATAAAAAAAATAAGTTTTTTTTTATTTATTTCCAATTGCAAGGCATATATTACATTTATAAAAACAAGCCAATGCAAAACAATGAGCAAGCAATTATAAATATTGACCGAAGTCATTGAAGCCTCGGGCGCATTCTCTAGCTCTCCAATGCAGGGCGGTCTCGGAGTCGGCCGGCAGAGCCACGAAGTGCCTCGCATCGACTCAGATGAGCTCTATTCAGAGGTTCTCCCAGATCGCATAATGAACAAAGATCTCGAGGGGAGTCGAAAATACCAATTGTATGGAGATGTTCACTCAGGTAGTCATGCCCCGTAACAACTTCCGTCTTCCCCCTTCTCCGATGACCGTCGTAAAGCTTTGGACAAAATTTAGAACGCATGCAAAAAATTGTAGACCAGTTGTGTTGTTGTCGTATCTATGCATGCAGTGCTAGTGCAAAGATTAGAGTCCTCCAAAAGTCTTGATTGCAAGTTCTGGAGCCCGATGGCTGTGGAGAATTTCGATGGGGGGTGCTCCAAGTTGAAAGAGGGAGCCGACAATGACCTGGCAGTCAAAAACATGGTCTGGAGTTAGTTGCAAATGAGGACAGTACTTGCAGATGGGATAGGATTTTATATTGGTGTGTGAGATCTTCATACCTTTGAAATATCTAGTACGTAGCCTAGCTATTGTAGTGGAGAGGTTTCTAGGGCAGTTTAGATCGAGGATTGCTGCCTTGCTAAAAAGCTGGTTGAATATCCTTCGCCTGGCGACAGCAGCACAGGTGACAGCTCGAGGTTGATCTTCGTCGCGTGCTTCCTTCGCAAGGGCATCTGCGCATACGTTCCCCTCGATTCCTACATGAGCTGGGATCCACTGGAGAGTGCAGCGGATATTTAGTAAATGGAGATGGGTATTAATTTCTTGCGTTATTGATGTCTTACCGTTATGTATGGCTTCGAGTGCTGATTTTGAGTCTGAGAAAATCACAATTTCTCTTACTGGGTCGTTTAAAGAATGGGAGCGACAAATGACCCAATAAAAGAAATTGCGATTTTCTCAGATTCAAACCAGACCAGTTAGCCGTATAAATATGTTGACGAGGATACACCACGAGGAGGTGGGTTTACGCTGCACCCCAGTTAATAATCAACTTTGCGTCGTTTGCGCTGTTTAATTGTAAACATTTTTATAAACTCAAAATTTTTTTAAAAAGTTTCCGCAGTACGTTTTNTGTACCAGCAATAAAACGAACTTATACGACACCTATTCTCCGATCCGAACCAACACAGCTCTAAAAAGCTGGTTGAATATCCTTCGCCTGGCGACAGCAGCACAGGTGACAGCTCGAGGTTGGTCTTCGTCGCGTGCTTCCTTCGCAAGGGCATCTGCGCATTACGTTCCCCTCGATTCCAACATGAGCTGGGATCCACTGGAGAGTGCGGCGGATATTTAGTTGGGTATTAATTTCTTGCGTTATTGATGTCTTACCGTTATGCTTCGAGCGCTGATTTTGAGTCTGAGAAAATCACAATTTCTTTCATTGGGTCTTTTAGAGAATGGGAGCGACAAATGACCCAATAAAAGAAATTGCGATTTTCTCAGACTCAAACCAGACCAGTTAGCCGTATACATATGTTGACGAGGATACACCACGAGGAGGTGGGTTTACGCTGCACCCCAGTTAATAATCAACTTTGCGTCGTTTGCGCTGTTTAATTGTAAACATTTTTATAAACTCAAAATTTTTTTAAAAAGTTTCCGCAGTACGTTTTGAGTATGTAATTAAATTGATTATTATTATTTATTTTTTGAACTTCGTGCAGCATTCGTCTACATTAAAGCTATCCTCTTCCTCTATAAAAGTTTTCCAAATACTTGTCTTCAGTCAAGATTACCGGTTCAGGATGCAAAATAATGTCTTCCTCTTCTTTCTTCCTTATCCCCAAAATTAGCAGGGCTAAACAATGTCCATGAAATTCATGACCCGGAGGAAGTCGGCCACCAAAAGTGGGCTATTTAGAATGTCCCTTTTGTCCAGTCCTAGA